AAGCAAATGAACCCTCTGTTTGGGAAGTAACAAGATGATGTCCATGCCATTCTTAGAATAGTGCCTGACATACATTAATAGTACATGCTCAATTAATGTATTCTTTCCCCTCAAACTGCCCCCTCCAAATTTTCAAACATACAGAAAAACTGAAAGAATTTTACAGTGAACACCTGAATGCTCCACCTGGATTCTATAATTAACATTAATAAGCTATTGTTATCATAGGTCTATCTACCTATCAATCTAGCAGTCCATCTTATTTTTTGTGGTACATTTTAAAGTAAGTTGTGGATTTCAGTACACTTGACCTCTAAACATTTCAGCGTGTATATTATTAACTAGAGTTCAGTATTTGTTTAGACAAGGGTTCTTTTTTCTTTTCCAGGTACGATTTACATATGGTGAAATGCACAAGTCTTAAGATGAGTTTTAACAAATGTACATACTCACGTAACCTAAACTCCTAACGAAGTAAAAAAAACATTACCCTCACCCCTAAAAGTTCCCACAGGCTCCTCCCTAGTCAATAATCCACATTCCCACCCCAGTTAACACCTATTCTGAATTTTTTTAACATAGTTTAGTTTTGCCTGTTCCAAAATGCCTCAAATTTTTAATAAAAAGTCAATGGAGAATAAACAAATATTCTCAAATACTGTGGGATTATAAATTGGTATAGCCTTTTAAAAAGGCAATCTGGCAATATGTAATTATAAAAATAAAAATACATGCACATTCCTTTTTGCCTAGTAATTTGAATGAGAGGAATTTTCTAATAAGTATACTAGCTCAAGTATGCAAAGAGGCCGGTCACAAGGTTGTTCACTGAAGCACTGTTTGTGATAGGTAAGAACTGGAAATAACCTAATGGTTAACAGTAGGGGAAAGTTAAATAATGCACAGTCATGCTTTGCAGCAATGACATGATTTATTGACATGGCAAGACTGCCAAGATAATTATTAAGTGCACGAAAGCACGCTACAACTATACAACCAGTACAAAACTGTTAGACAAAAGTATATGTACAAGGTGTATTTCTCTGTAAGGCCATACACTAAATTGACAACAGTGGTTACCTCTGAGGAAGAGACTGAGATTAGGGGAAAGGAGAATAGGTGCTCAAGGGCTTCCCTTTATTGCGCTGTCTGAATCTTTTATGAGGAGACTATATTCATGTCTTACTTACATGGTTAAAATTATTTTTTAAAAAGACTACAGACATAAATAAGGGCAGAGGATAGGGAATAGATTAATTTGTGGGGAGGCAGGGGAGAGACTAAAAATGGTTTTTTATATGCTATACACTGACAGGATTATGTCACCTGGCAAAGGAGCTTTTCCTAGAATTTTTTAAAGAGATGGGGTCTTGCTTGTTGTCCAGGCTGGTCTGGAACTACTGGCCTCAAGTGATTGGCCTCCCAAAGCACTGGGATTACAGGCGTGAGCCACCGGGCCCAGTCCCCAGATTATCTATTAATATGCATCTCTCCTTAAGCTCCTTGTTAATGTATAATTTATTTTTCCCTGCCACTCATATTAATGGCTTTAAATGAAAGTGCTGATATACTCACAGATTGTTAACTATACAAAATGTTTTCTAAATGAGAAATGGAATATGCTGCTCTCATATTTAAGGAGAGATTTTATGTGTTTTAGTTCATTTGGGCTATTATAACAGAATACCATAGATTGGATGGCTTAGAAACAGCAGAAATTTATTTCTCATTGTTCTGGAGGCTGGGAAGTCCAAGATCAAGGCACCAGCAGATTCAGCATCTGGGGAGGGCCAACTTTCTGATTCACAGATTGCACCTTCTGTGTTCTCACAATCGTGAAAGGGGCAAGGCAAGGCAGCTCCCTGGGGCCTCTTTTATAAGGGTACTAATCCCATTCATGGGGGCTCTGCCTTTATGACCTAATCACACCCCAAAGGCCCCATCTCCAACTACCATCATACTGGGGATTATGTTTCAACATTTGAACTTTGGGAAGGAATAAACATTCAGTCTATGGCATTATGTTTAAACATTTTCTCTCTGGGGGTGAGAAGGAATGAAAATATCTAGAAAACTAAATGGGTGTAAATACAGAGGCTAAAGTTCAATGAGACCTTACAAATGAGGGCTCATGTTAGGCTACAATAAACTCATATGGAAGTTTGCCTGATAAATCATAAAACATCTTCAGATATTGGTTCACTTAACAAACATTTATTAAACACCTATATGTATCATAGGCTATGCCAATTGATACTAACATATCCTAAATATCCCATGACCTCGAGGAACTCCCGGTCTAATCTGGCAGCAGTGGCAAATAAATATAAACAAATAATTATGGAGCTATATTAACAGTAGGGAAAACCTATAAAATCTTCATACACAAAGTTGTGGTCTTAAGACCAGCAGCATCTGCATCAATGAAGACATCTAAAACTACACCTCTAAATTCCTGAGTCTGCATGTTAACAAGATCCCCAGTTGATTTGGATGCTTGTATGAACTAAAAATCTTAAGCCCCTCAGCTGACTAAATGGACCCCACCTCCTGGCCAAGGAGACCCCAGAAACACCCTAAAGCTGAGTTGCTGGCCATGAGAAGGGAGGTCAGACAAGCCTCATCATGCTCCCCTCCCTTCTTAGAGATATACATTGTAACTCCTTAACAGGCTTTAGGCTATATAAGGTAAAGCTTAAATCACACCTGCTGGTCAATTTACTTATCACTTGAGTCTGGGTATTTATCCATATATGGGATGGCTCATCTCTGACTAACATACTTCCTTATCTTTTCTGTTTTTAAAGAGACTGGATCTCATTCTATTGCCCAGGCTGGAGTACAGTGGCAGGTTCATAGCTCACCGCAGCCTTGAACTCCTGGGTTCAAGCAATCCTCCTGCCTCAGCCTTCCGAGTAAACTCTCTTATCCTAAAACATCCTAAGCCTTTAGACGAAGCTTCATTTCCTTAACCCATCACAAATCAAAGAGTCTTTAAACTCACCTCTAACCTGTAATCCCCTGCTTTGAGATGTCCTGCTTTTTCGGGTCAAACCAATGTATACCTTCCACGTACAGATTTACAACTTTATGTGTAATTTCTCACAAATTTGGCTCAGAATAAACCTCTTTAAATTATCTGACAGAGTTTGGGTTATTTTCAACTGATACTTATTACTATTCGAGAAGTGATGAATTGCAGGATTATAGGAGGAACCAGAATCGATCCCTTGGGATGTGGACAATGAAGTCTTCAGATGGGAGAGGTGACAGGAACATTCCAGGATGAGAAATGAGCAGGCCCATCATCATGGCAGTTAGGAAGTGCAAGTGTTTCAGAATGAGTTTAGTCCAGGAAGACCAGTGGCCACTGGAAGATGTGGGAGATAGGGCAGAAAAAGTAGGCTGTGGCCAGAGGCAGAAAGGCCAGACTGAGGATTCTGGAGGAAGCCACTGAAACTTTTAAGCAAGAGGGGAGTGGGGAGAAAATTTTAAGCAGGAAAGTAACAAGACCAGAGACTTAGGTTTGGACATAACTCTGGTGGCAGAGTGGAGGATGAAATGTAGAAGTGAGAGGCTGGAGCTGGCAGACGTGTGTCCTTACATGAGGACTATTCATTTTTGGACTAGAAAAGAAGCCTGATACTTAGAGGTGGAGGGGGCCTCTGAGTCTTAAGTAGACAGAAAAATAGAATTCCAGCTGTAGTTGGATACAGGTGGGTTCTTTCTCATCAGCCCAGGAGGGTGGTCTTCAACCAGCATCATTAGCGCTACCTGGGAATTGATAAAAATGCAAATTATTACCTTGGAAGTACAGAGTCAGAAACCCTGGGGTTGGGGCACACAAATCTGACTTTGAACAACTTCTCCAGGTGATTCTGCTGCATGTTAAAATTGAGAACCACTGCTCTAGCCTGCCAAAAATCTTGTAGCAGGTGGTAGAGGCTTAAAATTGCCAGAACTTCCTTACTGTCCTAACAAAAAGAGAGTAATATAAAATGGATTTCTATGTTGAGTGGACAGAACAAAAGCCACATACAACCTAGACTTTATACAGTGCCCAGAAAAAAGCAAAAAACATACTGACCATCTTGTCCAAAAGCCCCATATTTGTAGAATTAAAATAGTTTTGGAAGAGGCCACGAAGTTCTCAGTAGCCTAAAGTAAGTAAAACTTATTTTTTTAAGTAAAAATAAATTAAATAATCATCCCAGTTGTAAATTCTTTCTGTCCCCTTTATTCCCCACAAAAACACCCTCAGGAAAAGCGTTGGGATGCCTTCCAGCCCTCTGGAAATTGTGTTTCTGATGCAACCGCCCTCAGAAAAAACACAATCCCAAATTAAAAACCCAAAAAAGCGGAGCAGCGGGGCTGGCGCCATCATCCCAAGACAACGCTGCCGTTTCCCAGCCACACCCCTGCAGGCCGCCGGGCCTGTTTCCCGCGGCTGTTCCCAAAGATAAATAAACCACTCCTTGTTTTTCCAGACCTGAAATTAGCGGTGACTCACAGAGCACTCTGAACGGCCACGGTCGCCTCGGGAAGGAGGAAGAATGTGCAGATTTTTCCCCTCACGCGAGGGCCCGAAGTGCCGGGCTCGGCCAATCAGGGGAGGGTGGCGGGTATCGCACCAAAGTAGGTAAAAAATGCGGGATGCGTCCCCTGGGCCGCAGCCTGCGGCTCCGCTCCAGCGGCTTCTCCCGCGTGACCCCCTCCTCTGCGGGCCCCGCCCACCCCTCTCCCCCCCTTCCTGGGCCCGCCCCCCGCGGCGGGGTGCACCTGGCCAGGTGGCTACTTCTGTGTAAGGGCATGGGGGGGGGGCCGCAGTGGGCGGGGCGCCACATGGCCCCGCCCGATGAGGGGAAGAAGGACCCCCTCCCAAACACACATGCGCCCATCATATTTTGTCCGCTCCTCGTAAGCAGGCGCCAGCCCAATCCGCTTCCGCTCCCCTAGCCGACGAGGGAGGACCGGCCCCCACCTCCAAACACCGGAGCTAGTGAGGGGCACCCCGCCCCCTAGCCTCCAGCAGGTGAGGAAGGCCCCCGCTCGCCCGGAGTCCGGACGGCCGCCGGGGCGGGGCGTTGCCAGGCCGATCGGTTGCGTAGCAACGGCGGGCGGTGCGAGACGTGCGCAGCCGCACTTCGGTCCGAAGCGCGCCCGCCCCTTGTTAGACTTGCGCCGCCGCGTCAGCTCGGCGCTCGGTCTCTCGGCCCGCAGCTGTGAGGAGGACGTTCTGCAGTCTCCGCGCCCGCCGGCTCCCTCCCCTGCGTCCCTGCGACCACCGCGGCGAAGATGGTGAGTTGGAGGGAGCCCGACTCGTGGGCTGAGGCGGCCAGGGCGGCGTATCTCCGGGGCGCCGCGAAGTCGGGGCTGAGGAGGCTGAGCCGCGCTTGGCCGAGGCAGGGACCCGGGCCCGGCTGCAGTCTCCGGGCGGAGCATGGTCTCGGGCTTCCTCCGGCTCGGCTGGGCCCCAGAGCCCCGCGGCGGATCCCCGGCCGCTGCGTCGCTCCCAGTTGCTGCGAGGCCGGTGCCTCGGAGCGTGTCCTCCGCCGGGCCTCGGTACGACTGGCCCGGGTCGAGCACCCCCACCGTGGAATAGATCTCGGGGTCTGCAGACTCGCAGGCGGGAGGGCGTCGGAATCCGGCGACAGTCTTGCTGGCGCGGGTTTCCCGAAAGCTGGCGCTGAAGCGGCCCGTGACTCGTGTGCGTTTCGGTCCTTGAGGTCTGTCTCAATAAGGAAAATAAGGCCTTTATTGAAGGATCCTAGAGGGCGGAATGATCGCTAACGAGCATGACCCTGGCATGATGTAGAACAGGCTAGCCTTGCAGCCGCTTTGTTTCTTCTTCTTTTTTTTAATCTGGCAATCAGCTTTCAGCAGCACTCTCATTGTGCTTGTCAAGCTTGGCAGTGTCTCTTTTAACCCTCTCCTGTCCAATTTGTCCATGTATGGTTAGAAATTTTATTTTACGTGTAAACAGTTTGGTTCTACCAGAACTTAGTGTGTAAGGTGTGGGCATGATGCTGGTATGCTAATACAAGCAAATTTAAGAGTTTTTAAAAAGTCAGTTAATTTACTGAGGTCACTAAAAAGTAAATAGATTCTGCTCAGTATTTTCTATATGATGGACGTTTTGCTTAATTTACATGTTTTTCCCCCTCTAAACTGTCACTCTAATGTGCTGTAAAACAGTATTCTCAACCAGGGGATCAGATCAGGTAGAACATTTTGTCATTTTCTGTAGTCTGCACAGACTGTTACCATTTTTGGTCAATGATTTGCAGGCAAAGCCTTACCAGACTTTGCTAGAAATATTACACTGTTAGTGCATCTGTCTGCCTCAAAGCAGTTGGTAATAGCTTATCTGCATACAGACTTAACTGAATTACAATTTCGGTTTCCTCGAGGTATTGCCACTTTCATGAAGATGGCAAGCTGACTCTTTAGGGAAAGAAAAAGATTAACAGGTAGTTTCTTGATGACTGAAGATATGTCATAGGGATTTGATATTCTTCAGTTTTGGGTTCTTCTTTGGTTTAATGCTATAAGCTACAAAGGCTCAGCACCTTAAGTCTTTTTAACCTCTTATAGATTTTAGATGTATATACTACTTTATACTGAAAGACATTTAATCTAAGGGCTTTGAGTTCTGATAAGTTTAAGATCATCCGCACTCTGAATGTGCTTTAAAGTGGACTGGAGCCTGCTCTAGGGTATTCCGATTTGACATTCTGGTTTTTTTGAGTTGCTAATACACTTTATTTTTCTATTTGAAAATAGGACCAAACATTTTAACTTCAGTTAAATGATTAGTTTCAGTTAAAGCTTAACTTTGGTACTTCCATACATTCAAATAAAGCAAGAGTGTGTTATATTTTCTGGTTTTGGCGGGGAGAGGGAGAAATAAAGCTGAGCAGATTCCAAATACATTTTAAACTTGTTGGCTTTAAGAAGGTCAGGAAGACCTTACAAACTGCTCTTGTTTAGATACCTGTTTAGAATGAGAATTCAGAATATAAACTGACCATTTTTAAAGATTAGTTTTATATTTAGCTTTATGAGCACAGGAGCATCTTAGTTCAGTCCAGCAATTAGAGAATACTGTGGTTCTTATCCCAGGTTAGATGCTTGGTTCCAAGTTTCTTTTTATTCTTTTTAATATTAAACTTTAACTACTGATGGATTTGTTTTAAATTAGCAGAATCACTTCCTGATACTCACCAAGTCTTCTAGAAGTACTTGAAATAAAGCAATTTGAAACCAACTCAAAAAATCATCATCCTGGGCACTTTGGGATGAGATTTTGTGTTGCCAAAAAATAAAAAGTCTACTTCCTTGAACTACATTTACACACATCAAATTAAACTTTTGTGTGTGTGTACTGGGTGTGCCGGCCTCCTTATACAAAGATTATTTACCAGCCCACCATCAAGTTCCTAGGGTTATTTGCTCAGTAGTTTTTATTGGGTGTGGATTGAAATATCACACGTAGACTTGGCTACCTCCTTTTGTAACCAAAGTGTGGATTTTCAGCTTAATTATATGGCTGTTTGGAAAGTAGGGGTGTAGTCTTGCCCCAGAAATAGAATTAAAAGGTCTACATGATAAACCCTTAACTTTACCTTAATCTGAACTTTGGTCCAACAAACTGAGTTAATTGGCTTAGGAATTACAAATGTATTCTACCATGTGGTGATTAGCAAACATACTTTCAGTTATAACAACCAGTGAAGTAGGTTGGGCATGTGTTCATGTACCTATTTAACATGTGAAAAAACAGATTGTAAAGGATTAATTGACTTGTGACAAATCACTTTTTCTGACTCTGTATCAAGCTTTAAAATAACTTAAACATTAATTTTGAAACACTTTAAGGAGAAAAGTATACAGAATAACAGATCTCTTTCTACCAAATAAAAAGTTAACTTTTTGCCTTATTTGAGATTTTTATGTTACTGTAACAGCTAAATATACCTCTTCTTCCTCATCCCATTCCCTTCCCTCCCCAGAGATAACCACTCCTGTGTCAAAGACATAATATGCCAATTAAGAAGATGGCTATTGCAATTAGGAGAACATTTCTAATGTCCTTATCTGGGAATATGCAACAGGCCAGTCCTTTTCAGTTACCTGTTTCCCAGAGTGCAAAATGATGGGGGTGGATTTCTTAACCATCACTGCTTTCCAGGTGCACAGGAGTCAGGTAAAATTAAACACAGTCACCTGAAATTAATATATTTCATTTTCACTGATATTTCCATACTTTCAACTATAGATAATGTATCCTTAATAATGTATATTGTCTTGATGTGTTTTTAAAATTTATATAAATGTTATGCTTCATGTATTCTTTTGTAGCTCTTTGAAAAAAAATTAAACTTTGTGGGTTTTCTGAGGAGGTCATTTTTTTGGTTTTACCTGTAGCTCTAGTTCTTTATTTAATTTATTTATTTTGAGACAAGATCTTGCTCTGTTGCCTGGCTAGAGTGCAATGTTGTCATCATAGCTTACTGCAACCTCAAACTCCTGGGCTCAAGGGATCCTCCTACTTCAGCTTCCCAGCCTCCCTACCACACCTGGCTAATTTTTTAAATTGGTTCTTTAACTGCTGAATAGTATTCCATTGTATGGCTATACAAGTTTATCTATTCACCTATTGACGGATGTTTGGAAATTTCCCCAATTTTTTGCTTTTTTAAATTTATTTTTTGGTCTACTTAAACTGTTTTTATGATAGGCAATTGTCATGCTATATCTTACATTGTATTACTTCCTACCCTCCCCCCCATGGGTATCTCTCCTTGATATATATCTAGAAGTGAAAGCCCTGGGTTAGAGGAAATACATATGTACTTTCTACTACTAGTTTTTTCTAATTTGCATCCCATCATCTACAGCCTGTTTCTCCATTTCCTTTCACCACTTGGTGTTATGAAAAATACCATAAAATTTTTGCTAATGTGATGGGTGTGAAATGGTTTCTTACTATTTTAATTTGCATTTTTCTGATTAGCAGTGAGTTGACTATCTTTTCATATGTTTATTTCATGTTATGTTTTTAAATGCTACATTCTGTAAACCTGACATTGTGTAAATACTCATTATGTCTTCATCTTATTTGTGGAGCCATAAGGTAAGTCCAGCATTTAAAAAAATCAACAAGAATGTGATTGTCACAATGCCGGAACTTCATACTGAGGACTAATAATATTCCTCTCTCCTCTGCTACATAAGTTTCTTTCCAGACCTCTTAAGCTGCTAAGTAACAGAAGTTCAGTACTCTGTGGATTCTAGCCACCTGCTGTTTTTAGGCTCCTGGTAGCAGTAGAATGTAAAGTGATTAAGGATAAAGTTCCTTCTTTGCCAAGTGCCATGGAGATTAACATCCTCTACTTTCTACTTATTCCTCTCTCTTTCCTAGGCAGTTCACCTAGCCAAAACATTAAAACCAAATACACAGGGTATATTGATGGGAACTCTGTTGCACTGTCCGCTCACATTTGCTGCCAACCTAAGACTTGTCTTAAAAAAGTCTAAAAAACAAACATACAAAACAAATAACCATGACGGTTTTTTATTTGTGTTTTTACGTTAATGTAACTTTATAATGTATTTTTTTTCAGTAATAAATACTTTGAGATGAAGCATACCACACTTGAAATTTGAAAAATCTTGCAACTCTTGAACAACTGAATTTAACAAAGCAACACTACAGTCTGAGTAACTAGATCTAGTCTCTTTATTACACTATTTGCATATGTAAACCACAGACCATATAAAGAAATAAGTAGAAGATTGTTAAGGTATCTTGAGCTTACTTCCCTTGTAGCATAATATTCCTCTCTAGATTATCTATGAAAGGCATACACCTAATGCTTCAGAAATATTTCAGCCACAACTTTTCTGCTGTCCCTGTGCACTGATGTTAGAAGTGAGAAGTTTTCACTTGGAATTGTGCTTCTGAGCTATCTCCTATTTGGTTTTCTTGATATTTTCTATTTGGAGAGGTATAGACTTAAAAAAATAAAATAAGGTTCATGCATCTCAGTAATACTTTGAACATACTTGTTATATTCATCATGAAAATTGCTGTGCAAAGACCACTGTTGAGTTGAATGGTTTTTAGTCTTAGAGTGCTTCTTAGCTCTAAGATTGGTTTTATAGTAGCTGACGTTGTAATGCTTACATGCTGCTTACTCTACTCCATAATTGGCTTTAAATAAAAATTGAAGAACCAATTTGTATGTAGATTTTTAAAAACCAATTGATTTTTGGTAAAAAATGCAATTAAAGTT